AGTGGGGCGAGTGGGGCGGGGCGGGGCGGGTACAACCTAAAATCCACTCCCGCCCCATCACCCATGGCGGGTATGGTTTTTATCCTCATCCCCGGCCCATCACCCGCCAAACCAAGACCCATCCCCGCCCCATTGGGGCGGGGATGGGGCGGTTCTCCTATTTGACCCGCCCCACTGACATCCATAGTTTTAACTAATATATTTAATATCATGCTTTCTAGTATCATGTTTAGGGTGTTAACTAATATTTTTAATATCATGCTTTCTAGTATCATGTTTAGGATAAAGCTTTGATTTTTATTATTTAGTGACAAGCTAGGATTTTTTATTAATCTTGTTAGTATCATGCCTAGGATCTTGCTAATATTATTATGATGACTATTATATGATGATTGTTGTGTCATTAATTATTATGTTGCTTGATTATTTATAATGTATATTATTTATTGTTATTGCTTGATCACGCCCTTTCTTGTAGGATTAAAGGGAATTTGTACTTGAATCACGCCTAATAAGATAATTAATAATTTGTTTTAGGCTTAATATGATTTTAATTCAAGTGATCGCCAATAATAGATTTATTTGTGCATTAATAATCAACCAATATAGATTAAACAGGTTTAGGATTAGTTTGTTGTATGTATGTTGATCGGAAAGCGCACATGAGTATCATAAGAATTAAGTAGAGGCCGATTTAGGGCGGGTTCAATCTCTTTTAAGTTGGATTCGTACCATCATCCCCGAATATCCAGTCATGGTTCCGGACTACTATGGAGTTAGCGATCTCTGTGATCGTGAATGGGGTGTAACCTTCACACCCGTGGACGGTTTCGAAGTTCCTAAAACTTGTTGGCGACTCTTTTGCTCTAGCTTCTTTCCCTTTAGACGCCACCATGCTTAAGTGCATGATCACAGTGGGGCTCAAAGTTGAGTGTTCAATTATTCCCTACAGTTTTTTGGCGACTCCACTAGGGAAAATTTCTAATTTTGATTCTTAAAATTTATTTTGGCAATTGACTTTAGAATGAGTTGATGAGACTTGAAACGTTCTAGATATTCATTGTGCGTAAATTTGAGTAACATTGTGGCATAAGAATAAAAAGGTCCGCATTGGAAAGACCATCCGAAATGCGTTCAAAACATAGGATTTTTTACAACGTAGGAAAATTGGGAAATATCTTTCACAACTAGAATAAAAAAAATACTACGAAAATCGAAAATTCTGAGAACACATAAAGCTGCTGCGAAGTGTAAGAACTGTCGTGAGATGACAGTGTCCATCGCCATGCGATGGCTCCATCGCGACGCGATGAGGTCATCACTGTGCGATGGACCCTGTTTTCTCGCGCCGAGTTCTGCCAACATCGAGCCAGAAATTTGCCTTTTTATTTTGACCAATTCTAGTATTGTTTCGCCCATTCTACTTCCTGATCGAGTTTTTCCTTCTGAACCCATATGTGTTCTACATATGGTTTTAGCTCCTGGGAATTCACGCTCCATCTACCCAATCGAACGCTCCGTGCAACGACGAGTACATCCGAGTTTGTGAATTCTCCAAACCATGGAAGCAAGTCTAACTTGCGGGGTCCCATCCATATGAGCCAACCCTTCCAAAGGTAAGGCTTCTGCGCGATGCATCTGGACCCATAACCATGGACCCTCTTTGACTACCATAATCCTTGAACTTTAGAGAACTAGAGCCATGGTTAGGTTGCAAACTCATTGCATCATGTTGTGACTATTTGACTAGTTGTGTATTCCCTACTTGTGCATATTTTTGCTTGTGATAAACTAACCTCTTGTGTTGACTTGTGTTTATAAAGTCTTAATAACTAATGACTAAAAATAGACTTTGCTCAATTAATTAATTAACTAATTTGGATTAATAAAGTTTAAAAACACTTAACTTAGTGAGACTATAGGTTTCCCTTTTTAAAGAATTACCGAAAACAAATTTAACTAACGTTCCAGTTCTGGCGCGGAGGTTTGATTTGTGACGCAAAACTTCAGCTTTCATCGCAACGCGATAGTTATATCGCGCTGCGATGGAGCCAATGCGACGCGATATTTCCATCGTATTGCGATGGTTTGATTTTTCTCCTTGAGTCTTCGCGTCGAGTCTTAAACTTTTTGATCAATTAATAATCGAAGTTATAACTTAGCCTTTGTTTAAGTCTAACCACATGTCTAGTAACATGGTCATGACACGAGTCTTGAACATATCACTTTCACTTATCACTAGGCGAAAAAGGCAAATAGGCACCGATTTTGAACCGTTGAGTATTTGAGGGATGCCAAATCTCTGAAGATTTGGCACCGGTTCAAAACCGGTGGCTATTTAGAGCTTTGGCACCAGTTAACTGGTGCTAAATACACTCTTTGGCACCGGTTAACCGGTGCCAATTACCCATGGCGCGCTTTTTTTTTTTTATTTCAGTACAATAGGCACCGATTTGAAGCCTGAACCAGTGCCTATAACTGTATTTTTTTTATTTCAGTACAATAGGCACCGATTTGAAGCCTGAACCGGTGCCTTTAACTGTGTTTTTTTTTTTATTTCAGTACAATAGGCACCGGTTTGAAGCCTGAACCGGTGCCTTTAACTGTGTTTTTTTTTCGGCAATAAATAATAATATTTATACTAATACTAATAATAATAATGAGAACCTGTACATCCTGCATTAATTCTATCATTATTATATAACCAATAACAATAATAATAATTATTATTATTATAATTAATAATAATAATAATAATTTGTAAATTGAAATAATAACAATACATAGATATTAATTAATAATCTCAAATGCAATACTATTTACAAAAAATACTAATTTAAAAAAAAGTGTCATAATTACAAACAATACTAATCAATAATGTAGTTAACAAGTTCAAATATAAATGATATTTACAAGTTAAATGTGATGAAGGACGCTAACATGTCTCGAACTTCATTAAGTTCTTTTCTCGTCAACGGACCTCCCTTTTGTACCTTGCAAAACTTGGAATAAACAAAAAGTATGTTAGAATTAATTACTTAGGTTATGCATGTAAAAATACATTTACAAGTTCAGTTAGGCAAAAATTTATTACTTAGGCCTATTTGACTACTAGGATGCCTATTTCCTACATTTCTTGTCAAATGAACTCATTCTTTCTCATAACATGTCATTACTACTTAGTTATAGGCGCTTAGGGCTTGAAATCACATGAAAGGAGCAATTCAAGTGTTTTAGGACGCATTTTCATCCAAAATGTCCCAAGTAAGGCCTATTTCTTACATTTTTTTTTCAAATCACATGTTAAGAGCAAATTAGCTAAGTCAATGGCATACCTAATCAAGTTGTAGTGTGTCTGTACAACGACTCACTATGTCAAACATGAATCTCATCACGTATAGGCCACAATCAACTCCGTTATCTTGTTGTGCGCACTAGCATAGGAACAAAGTACATGAATCAAACATGCATATATAGCAAATTAGTAACTTTTTACGGATTGTTTATTACGAAAATCACAATATCATGTGGCATTACCATCGGTGATTTCCAGGTGGGACCTTGAGGAGCTCGACAATTTATCTTCTTCATAACACTATAGAAAATTAAGGTCAAATTTGATTAGTATGACTAATAAATGAGTTAGGTAATGATAATTAACACTAGGTAGCTTTATTTACTTTTGTAGTATGAACTTCACGAGGAGATTTTTTGGATGAGGCAATCGAGCTGAATCAAAAAGGAAGATTGTGTTACTGGAAACACAAATCACCAGCAGGGTCTAATGCAAACTACATAAATTCACAATAGACAAACAAATCAATTATTAGCCATGTACAACATATAATCAGGGGAAACAAATGAATTTGACATGGTTAGACGTACTCTTCATAACATGGGGCCAATATGAACTTGTCTCCCGCACACACTGATTCCTTGATACTCCGTTCAACATAGTACAACACGTCAGGGTGGTTGCCTAAGATTCTAGTAGTGGAGATCTGCTCGGGGCATAACCACCCAACTTGACACGGAGAATCAATGTCACGTAAGTGCTCCTGTAGTGCTCTGCATGCATGATAATAGAATATTAATGGAAAAATAAACGACAATCACCACTAATCTGAATAACATACTTTGAGCGGCATTGAATTACCTCATGAATGTTTGAATGAGGGAAATGTTAAGCATTGATCCACTTAGAAATTCCTTCACATCTTCTTTGTTAAGCCATGCAATTGCATCGTCGTCATAGTGGAACAATGCCTTAGGTAGTGCAACTTGAACGGGAGTGTCACTAGGCAACATAGCAACACGGTTGTGTAGATAAGTTAAATCTTTAGAGAGCGATTGAAGGACTGTGTCTGCAACAAGTGGAGTAGCTTGCATAGCTGAACCTCTCGGAGAGTTCTTCTTCGAAGATTTTTCACTCTCTGATCGTTGTTCACTCTTCTTTGGCACCGGTTGATCAATGCTTTTAGGCTGCTCCACCCTCCTTCTCTTTGAAGTTTGGCTTTTCTTTGAAATTTGATAAAGCAAATCACGCAATTGGTTAGAAAATAGTGAACCCAAAAATCTTACCTCGTTGATCAACCTTACCCAATCACATGGCCATTGCACAAAGCTACCTTTCGCTTCCTAGAGTGTAGCAATCCCATCCTCCTCTATGGGCACCGGTACTCTGATGTACTCGAACTCCGCAACCACAGAATTGATCCCGACCGAGTAATGTTGTGGCCTAAGCGGTTGCGAATGAACCGTACCACTAGTCGGGTGTGCACTAGCATACGCAACCAACTGCAAAGGTCCACTGTTTGATAGCCCCGGGTATAGAAGTGCACAACAGGTCTCTTCCTGCAGTAATTTGGAAGAAGAAATTAACACTTTCAAAGCGATTATAAACAACGCCCACACCGAAAACAAAATCGAAAACGAAATCGAAACAAAACCGATTTTATGATTATGTTAAGGTATCATTAGGGTTTATTTTTAAGTTGTTAATGATGTATTTTGGTTGAGTTTTAAGCATGTAACAGCCTTTAATAAAGGAATCGTAGCTGCTGTAAAAACAACCTTTGTGCCGTGTGTTTTTGCTGTACTTTTGCCTTGCTTTTGGGTGAATTTGTTGTGCAATATGCTCACAGCAACAGCTCACAGCAGACACAACTCACAGCAAGAGCTCATCACAGACACAACAGTAGGCAGAAACAGCAACACAGCTCACAGCTCACAGCAAATCACAACAGTGTTGTGCAGACACGGGCAGACACAACTCACAGTAGGCAGACACAGCTCACAGCAGACACAATAGGCAGCACAGCTCACAGGCAACACAGAAACATCAGACACAACTCACAACACAGAAACAGCAGCAACACAGCACAGAAACAACACAACACAGCTCACAGCAGGCAGCACAGCTCACAAGCAACACAGAAACAGCAGACACAGCTCACAGCACAGAAACAGCAGCAACACAGCACAGAAACAACATAACATAGAAACAGCACAACACAACTCATGAAAGGCAGACAACAGCATCACAACAGCATCACAGCAGGCAGACAGACAACAGCATCACAGCAGGCAAACAACAGCATCACAGCAAGCATGACAGCAGGCAGACAACAAGCGCAGAAACTGCATGACAGAAACAACAAGCACAGAATAGGTAGGCAGAAAGCATAGAAACGGCATGACAGATACAACATGACAATGGTCTGTGAAACAGAAACAGAAACAACATGACAGAAACAGCAGCATCACAACATGACAGCACAGAAACACGACAAAAACAGCACAGAAACTTGACAGAATTAATACCATCACCTCGGACATCTCCTTTCCCGATCAATCGTTATGCAAGTAATACAAAAACGAAGAAACACGAAATTAACAAAGAAACGAAGAACATTTACAAAGAACTAAACAAATTACCTGTAAATCTGGAAAGTCACCCGGTGTTGGATTATGAAGCTCCCTCGAGTCCGCATGTGTAGGAGTACGAACCTGCAATGGTAAGTTAATAATGCCACGTTAGATCTCACTTAAATCAATATGTCAAAACTAATACATATGAAACTACCTCATCATCATCTCCATGTATCTCATCTTCTCCTTGTCCTTTTGGGTGACTACATAAGTCGACCGGTGTAGTCGAGGGGAAAGGCAAGCCCGGCAAGTTCAGTTGCTTCGCCCAAGCATTGAATACTTCTCGCATCTCGTTGCACACTTGTTCCTTAATTGATGCCACCGTGGCATCCAAGTCAACCGGTGAGTTCACACTTGCTCGGGATCTTCCTGATTTGGTATATTCTGGACCCATCACCTTTTCCCATCCTAGCAAGGTCCCTCCCGCACCTAATACCCGTCCTGGATGGTAGGGCTTTCCCAAAGCCAAGGTGAAAGGGTCCTTCTCTACTGTTGGGACGAGCTTGCCTTCAACCAGTTTTTTAGTGTACTCAAGTTGTAGCAAAAACAAAAAGGCAACATGAATATAGTTAATGTTTTTGTAAAGTGATATTTATGCTAAAGCTTCATAAAGTTCACTAGTTCATAGTTTCTTACAAGTTTATCTGCCATTTCTTTGGTTTCCGGAGCGTTGATGACCCATTTTTCGGTTTTCTTGTCACGTGAATGCAGAGAAAAAATGAAATCGCCAGCACGACTCATCAACATAGTGTTCGTGGAATCAGAAGCGCAGTGGGGTATACTCCCTCCTTCACCCACGTTTCCCTCCATTCACCAAATGTTTTAGACCCCATACGATGGGTGTATTGCCTCTGCATTGCATTTTTGGAATTTTGCTACCTCAGTTCCTACATAATTAGACATGTTAGTATCATTACCTTAAAAAGAGTTAATATATTATACAATTGTCATCAGATTTACTTAAACTTACAATTGCTTCCATTTTACTTTTTTGAAGAACGAAAGTTTCCCAATCATCCTTCGATACGCTTGGCCATCTTTGCCATGGGAGTTGCTCTTCCTCGATGACTTCATCATCATTGCCACCTCCTTTCTTGTTCTTTGGTCTTCTCACCCTTGTCTTTGTGATCCACGTACGAACTAAGAGGGTCTTGAAGCCTCTGAATCTTTCCGCTAGTAAAGATTCAAACACCCTTCGCTTGGCGGCATCATTAGGAATGTTAAACACACTCTGCAAGCACAAACCAAAACGATTATTAGTTTCCCCTTTTAAATAACAATAAAGTGAAGGTATTTATTATTGTGTGCAAACAAAACACTTGCCCTTGTATCATTCCAAAATGTGTCAATCAAGCCCGGAGATACTTCCCGCCAACCAAGAGTAATGGGGATTTTGCGCGCACAAATCCCAACGTGAACAGCATATTGACGACGCCATTTGCCTGTAGGTTGGCCTGCCTTGTCATACTCCAGGGCCATGGGACCGACTGGTTTCTTGAAACTTGTGGTCTGATCGCATGTAATTGGCTTGGTCGTCTATCTCATTTGGTACAACAGGTCTAGGAACAGCGAAAGGTGCCGAGTCATCAAACGCATCATATTCTTCCTCATCCTCGACATCTCTAACGCCAAGGATTCTTCTTTTGCCGGCTAGCACAATATACCATTTTGAGTCAGCTGAGTCAGTTACGTAAAACACTTGCTTAGCTTGATATGCAAGGATGAATGGTTCCGCACTATCATTCAGGTGGCCAAGATCTACAAGAGTAAAGTCATCATATTTGACGTTACGCCTGATATTATCAACCCACTTACACCGGAAAAGAGCAATCGTGAAGTTACAATAATCAAGCTCCTATATTTCTTGAATTCGACCGTAGTATGACAACTCTGCATCAACGGGTGATTTATCTTTAGCACTTGCAAACTCCCTTGACGATGCCACAAGCATTACACCACTGTTTTGGGTCGAGGAAAATTTCAAATCCTGATGCTCAGTCCAAAATGTGTACCCATTTATGTCATATCCCTCAAATGAGCAAACATCATCCCTAGGACCATAAGCAAGCCACCTTACTGTATCTGTGACACTCTCATCCATTCTACCCATCACTCGATCACGAAACCAACTCACAAACTTCTTATTATGCAACTGCATCATTGCTCTTTTACCTTCCGATGGAAATTCATCACGCAAACTAGCCATGTCCTCGTCTAAATATGGGTGAACATCAGCAACATGGTGCAACACATGTAGGTGTGCTTGTAAGAACTTATCTCGATCAGGTGACGTTCGTTTCGACCCGATTGTGCCATGACCATCAAGTCTCCCTTCATGTCGAGAAGTAGGAATACCAATAGGTTCAGCAACGGCTATATAGTTGGCCACAAAATTACCAATCTCCTCAGCCACGGTCCCTTGAATCATACTTCCTTCCAGGTGAGCCCGATTCCTTACCTTATTTTGCAATGTTCGCATGTGTCTTTCAAAAAGATAGCACCACCTCATGAACACTGGACCGTACAATTTAATCTCACGCACCAAATGAAGAATCAAATGCACCATTATGTCAAAAAATGAGGGTGGGAAGTACATCTCAAATTTGCACAAAGTCACAACCACATCCGCCTGTAAAACATCAAGTGTACAAGGATCAAGCACTTTGCTGCATATTGTATTGAAAAACGAACAGAGGCTTTTAATAGCTTCCCTCACGTGCTTTGGTTAAATACCACGTATTGCAATTGGTAGGAATATTTGCATCAGAACATGACAATCGTGGGATTTCATACTTGTCAGCTTCAATTCTCCATTCAAGGATACAAATCTTTTCATGTTAGATGTGTACCCTAATGGCACCTTAATGTCGTACAGACATGGACAAAACATCCGTTTTTCTACCCTTGACAATGTGTAGCAAGCCGGAGGTAAATAAGTCTTGTCATCCTTGGCTTTTCCCGCATATTTCTTCTTCGACGCATCCGTGGCCTTTCCCTTTCCCTTGCTCTTCCCCTTTCCTTTTTTCGAACTCATTTCATTTTCCGTTTCCTGTTCCTTTCCCATTCTAACCTTTTTTCTGAGCCCACAATTCTGGACGAACCCCCATCTTTTCCAATTCTAATCGTGCACCCTTTCCGTCCTTTGTTTTGCCTTGAATATTCATCAGCGTTCCTACGAGAGCATCACACACATTTTTCTCTGTATCCATTACATTAAGACAGTGCCTAACGTCATGTTCTTTCCAGTACGGAAGCTTCCAAAAGATTGATTCTTTTTTGAAGAGAGCAGTTGAGTCCGCAGCTTTTTCAGTTTTCCCAAATACTGTTCGTATACCCTTAACTCGAGCATAAACCTCCTCACCAGTCAATGGCCTAGGCGCAGTCCCCTCTTCCGCTTTCCCATCGAAAGCCTTTTTCTGCCTACGGTACGGGTGATTGCGCCTAAGCATCCTTCGAGTACACACGTACACCTCTTTGTGACAATTATCAAGGTGTATGCTTGGGGTGTCATCAATATAAATGGGGCATGCTTTTTTTCCTTTGTTCTTGTAACCAGACAAGTTGCCATATCCAGGAAAATCATTAACGGTCCACTTAAGAGCTGCACGCAATGTGAACTTCTCATTCTTATGAGCATCAAAAACGGAAACCCCTTCGTCCCACATCTTTCTCAAATCGTCAACAGGTGGCGCGAGATAAACATCTATGTCGTTTCCAGATTGCCTTGGCCCCGTTATCAAAAGTGAAAGCATTACGTATTTTCGTTTCATGCACAACCAAGTAGGCAAATTGTAGATCACTAAAAGTACCGGCCATGCGCTGTGTTGGGTACTAAGAGTGCCAAATGGATTCATCCCATCCGTGCACAAACCAAGCCTTAAATTTCTGACTTCATCACCAAATTCCCCAAATTTTATATCAATGTTCTTCTATTGCGGGGAGTTGGCTGGATGCTTCAACATTCTGTTTTTCTTTCTTCCCTCTGCATGCCACCTCAAGTTTTTAGCGTCTTTTGGTGTTGAGAATAAACGCTTAAACCTTGGAATAATGGGAAGATACCACAACACCTTAGCAGGAGGTCCCTTCGTACCAACATTGCAACTCATGCGCTTGTAGCGCGACTTCTTGCATCGTGGACACTCCTCCAATTGTTCATATTCATTTCGATAAAGAATACAATCATTAGGACATGCATGTATCTTCTTATACTCCAAACCAAATGGACACATGAGCTTCTTTGCGTAGTAAGACTTAGGAATTTCATTCCCGTCGGGCAACATCTCACTTAATGCGGTCAACAAAGAAGTAAAACTACTGTCCGTCCACCCATGCTTCGACTTAATGTTAAAAAGTGTTAGCACGGCTGATAGTTTGGAGTATTTTTTGCACCCAGGATACAAAGGCTTTTTAGAAGCCTCAGATAATGACTCAAACACGTCACCTTCTACACCACGCATCATCTCATCCACCGCTTCATCCTCGACCTCATCCACCTGATCATCCTCAAATCCATCCTCATCACCATTATCAATAATATGTTCATCATTCTTGTATTCCTCGTCCAC